CCCCAAAACCCCAAAACCCCAAAACCCCTTTCACATAAATCATACCTGAAATGTATTAATTAAATTTTATAAAAATGGCTACCATCAACATAGCACCTTTAAACCTTAAAGTACTGAAGGAGAAAGAAAAAGAAGACCAACTCAGAGAAACCAACAGGAAAGTTCTCCGAAGAATGTCAAGCATGAAGGGATCTGGAAATAAATTATCAAGTAACAATTACTTCTTATTGATTCTACTGTCAAAAGCTGTTATAACTAATTCTAAACATAAGGTTCTAAGTTCAGATAGAACTTCACAGAGAGTTCTACATAATTTTCTTATAGATTAAATGTTGACACTATTTTCTAACAACCTTGTTAATGCTTTCAACCTTTGTAGTTAAAACAACCCAACAGACTGCTAAATAAAAGTGCTAGGAGAAGATTAAATGCGAACATATTCGATCTAGAGCCAAAGCTTCTGAACGACAGCATCTTGAAAGTCCTTTCTGACCCTTGTAATGCTAGAAAGAGAGGTAAGTGAGGGTAGAATTAGCATAATAACTTTTTTAGCTGATCTACTTAAACTGAAAGACTTCTTCAATGACCACGAATTCTTCAGAGAGCTTGAAGAAAATAATGAAGAAGATACTGTCTTAAAATGATTTAAAGCAATGAAATATGTCGAACACAGAAAAGATGATCTTATTTTCAAACTTGGGGACGAAGGCTTTTACTTCTATATTATTTTGAAAGGAGAAGTTGGGATTTAAAATAATGGTCACTAAAGAATATGAATTCACTCAAAACCAATATCACAAATTTTTAATAAAAAATTACGAAGAAGTATGATGGGAAGGAATAGAAAATGGAGAAGAGCTCAAATCAAAAGTAGATTCTTTGATGGAAAAGCAAAACAAGAAGCTAACTAATAGGGGATCAGTAAATCCATTGCTTGATTGTTTAGAAAAATTTGATCAATTGCAACCAATCTATATCTATGAAAGACTTAAAATAGCTTCAAAATTGCAATGATGAAAGAGGTCAACGTCCTTGGTGCTGGGAAATGCTTTGGAGAGTTAGCCTTAATCAACTCCTCGAAAAGAGCTGCTACTATCTATTGCAAAACAGACGATTGCAGCTTTGCAATTCTGAGCAGAGATGATTTCAAAGAAATCGCTGGCAAAGCAGAAAAGAAGAAGCTTGATAAAAAGATAAACTTTTTAAAATAGGTTTGAAATGTTTACAGAATTTACTTATACAACACTCAGAAAGTTTTCTTATTTTATGGATGAGCAAGTCTACTCCAAAGGTATGATCCTAATCTGTAATAAATAGGAGGTAAAGTATATTCTGAAGGAGACATCCAACTTGGGATTTTCTTAGTTCTTGAAGGAAGCTTTGAAATTATTCAGAAATAACCCAATGAAAGTAAAACAAAAACTTAAAAACAAAATCATAAAACTAAAAGATAAAAAGAGCAGTCTTTCAGTTCTCAAAGACCTTAACTACTTCCGCTTAGCTTCTCTTACTGAAGGAGATCTTTTCGGTGTTGAAGAGGTTCTTCAAAATGTCCCTCGCAAAAACACAGTAATCTGCACCTCAGGAGGTTATTCCACCATTTACTTCCTGCCCTCTAACCAACTTCTCCCTCTATTCAAGTCCAAATAAATCCCAAGATTCCCTCCAAAAAGCCCGTAAGCCTTCCTTTTCACCCACAGTATCCCACCAAAAATAGCATAAACTCCCGTATCCAACAGTATCCTCCTTCTAATCTCTAGAATAATCCAAGTTGCCAACACCGAAGAAAGCCTTCTCCAAAAACGCCCAACTTCCTTCTCAAAATCCACCCAAAAGGTAACTCAACCCCATAATTCCCTGTAGAAAAACTGAAGAATAGAACTGAAGAAGAAGATTATTACACTGAGTAATTTTTATAAGAAGAGTGATTATGCCATGGGCAGTCACAAGAAAGTGGATAAGGAGAAGGAGAAGGAACAAAGTGGTGGCAAGAGGAAGGGGATAAAGAAGAGTAAGAATAAGGAATTGTTACCAGAGTATTCGAAGAAGGCTAAGAAGAGGGTAGGATAGAGGGTTATGGGTGTAGAGTAATAAGTTGAAGAGACAGATTACCAAGCTTATTAGGTTTGATGAAGATAGTGTAAGTATGGTGGGGTTGAAGATTTAGAAAAGTAGGAATACTCCTACTGATCAGAGAAGAAAATCTCAAATTCGCACTTTTCACAGGAAATCGAAAATACTTCAAGTGAACCAACAAAAATTCTTTGTATGAGATACAATTGACAACATAGGAAACATCCTTAGCATGCATCATTTCAGAGTAAGAAGGTACTATTTATAAATATAGGAGTAGAGATAGCTACGATGATACTACCCATTCATTAATTAAAATCAAGAACAAAAGGAAAGAAAGTAATTATCATTGCTACTTTTAGAAAAATTCAAAGAATTTCTTTCAACAGAACCTACTCCCAAATAAAAGAAATATGCTTTTAAGAATTGGATACTCAAAAGCTAAAGACTCTCCTTTAAAAATTTCAAAACTTCACAAAGATAATGTAACTTCATACTTACTCTTTAGGGCAATCTAAACACATCATTTAGTTCAATCCTTTCTAAAGTATTTTTTAATTACATCGGCAGAATGACTTCAACGATCATATCCAAATTCCTAACAACCTCCCTTCAAAAGCCCAAAACTCTCCATCACCACTTTCTAAAAGCCAATTCCTAATCTCTCCTTTAAAATAACCAATCTTGCACATCATACCAGCTCTCCCCCTCTCCAACCAAACCTTCCAAACAAGTCTGCTCAATCCTCAGACACACAGATATTCCAATCCCTTCAGTACCCAGTAATCCCTTTTTCTCCTCCTTCTTCCCACAATTTTTCCTCTTCCTTCTACTCCAACCTTTCATCCCTAATCGCTAATAACTTGACAGTTTTTAACAGACCTATGTGAAGTGGGCTTATGGTCAATATAGGAATGGCTTCTTCAGTAGGGATGCCAGTGAGGAAGAGAGCAAATGAGGAAAGGAACAAATCGAGAGGGGTTAAGGCTGATGTTGGTTTTGGGAAGGTAGGGAAGGAGGAAGGAAAAAGGGTAAGTTATTATTCAAATGAAAGAAATAAATTTGTATCAAAAAATGCTTCTTTTAAATTTTAGAATTTCAGAAAAAAATTTCATTTGAATTTCTAATAAAAACTGTTCCTTTTTGACACACTAATAATATCTTGAAAACATTTCAAAAGACAAAAAAAATAAAATCCTTCCTCTTTCCAATTTATCATCCAAAAACCCACTTCAAACATCCCCAAAATACCCATCACCTCTTCTTCACACCTCCTAAACACCCAATCCCCTTTCCATTCACAACCCCTCTCGACAACCGAACTTCTCTGAATCCAACCCATTCTAACCCTAACTCCCCACCTCTTCATTCTCACTGACATATAGTCTCTCTGCTACAACCCCAAAAGAGCCCCTGCAAGAAGTAAACACCTCAGGTAAGTTAACCCAACTTTGGCCTTCCATTTAAGCTTGTTGAGAGCACCTGTAGAGGGGTTTTGGGGTGATAGTTAGTGAGGAGGGTGGCAGAGGGTTAAAATTATGAAAAAGAGTTAGCGATTAATGGTTGTGCTTAGTAGAAATATCAGCTGCTTCAAAGTAGATTATACTAGTGATGCAAGTGAGGTTGTTTATAAGTCAGTTGAATGAGAGAAAGAACAGAGAAAGCAGAAGATTATTGATTGAAGGCAGAAATTTACAAAGATTTTTATGAAAACTTACTCTGGAGGTTTCAGGAAAAATAAGATGTAATTTAGATATTTCTTATATACTTTTAATTCAATATCTAGAAATTAAAAAGGGGTTTTGGGGTTTTGGGGTTTTGGGG